AACAAAGGCAGTTTTATGGCAAGCACGTGTTCGGCTGTTATGGCTGCCAAAAGGAAGCTGGTTCCTTCAAGATGAGAGGAAGCTCGTAGGGCCAGGAACGAGAACTCGCTTTCTCTTTAGTGAGGACATGGCATGTTAAAGACTTGTTCAGTTCTTACAGCTCTTTCCCCGTTACTTCCCAGTTCTTGGGGAAAACGGGGATGGAAGTTCATGGAGAAGTTTTGAGGTTGGTGAAGGAAAGGGAAGGTGTGGCACTGGGGAAGGAATATATCAGGGTTTATTTCCATCTGGATGAAAGGAGGTAGGTGACAGGCCATTATGTCCTGCTCTTTGAATTTTTACTAAATAAACACTGGTATTAGATGAATAAAAACCTTAATAAAAGATGTCTGAAATGACGAAGAGAAGTGCACAGCTGTAGTGACACCCACTGCTTTGGCCTAGTCTTCCTCAGTCCAGAATTCATAAAATGAAAGGACTTATGGTTACTAAAAAGCTTACCCAAGATATGACTGTTAACTCTTTGCACATAGTTAATTTGCTTAAAGATCCTGTGTCTGTCAGTCGTGAAATAAATAATGTCCTAAGGAATTTTGTAAATGTCGATGTTTTTTGTTTTGTTTTGTTTTGTTTTGTTGTTTTTTGTTTTTTTTTTTCCCCTCCTATGTTGTTTGCCAGTTTAGGGTGAATGAGTTTGGAGCTTTGGAAGTTATCACAGATGACAGCGAGATGGACAGTGTCAAGAAAGCAACTGCCACCACCACTTGGATGGTCCCAACCGCCCAGGAGGGTAAGGCCAGCCCACCCACTACTGATTTCTTCTTATTGACTAGTTTAAAATCAGTCTGTCTAAGCTTTTATAGGCGGGCCAAACTTTGAAAGGCCTGGATTACTTTTGTGTCTCATGTCCCTACATAAATTTTTGTAATGGACCAGCTTTTACATTTTAAAATGGTTATACACTGTCTTATTTCTAATGCCAGATCTGTAATAGCATGAGGTCAGTTGCAAATTATCAAGTTGCTAATGGCCAAACTAGGTGATTTAGCCAAAAAGCCTGGCACTTTTGGTTTTTTGTTTGTTTTTTTTCTCATCTACTCCGATGGTTATAACTAACACCTATATGCTGATGACTCCAAAATCTATATCTCCAGCCCCGACCTCCCCCCCGAGTTCCAGGCCCGTATTTCCACCTGCCTACTGGACATCTCCACCTGGATGTCCCACAGGTACCTCAAACTCCACATGTCTGAAATGCAAGTCACTTTCTTTTTCTTTCTCCCTTCCCCTAAGCCTACTCTTTCCTCCGTAACCCATAAGTCAGGTGACGGTAGCGCCATTTACCTGGTGCATGGTCAAAAAGTCTATAGGTCATCCTGCATTTGTTTCTCCCACTCCTTGTTCCTTAATGCTCTTGGTTTTATTCCCTAAATAAGCCTCAGATCTGGCCTTTCCTATTCTCACCACCACAGCCTTAATTAAGGCCTCTAACTCTCCCTGAAACTATTGCAGAAGTCTGTTAAATAATCAATGCTTCTAACTCACCCCTTTCCGATTTATCCTGCACCCTGACGTCAGTGGAACTTGTGTAGACTGCTCACCTGTTACTTGGCTAATTTCTCTTTGCCACCCCAGCAAAGCCTTCAAAAATCTGGTGGTCCGCACCCATCTGCTTGCTTTGTCTACCCTCTATCCTTTACTGTGTGTTGTGCTCTGGTCCCTCAAGTAGTAAGGACCTACATGTCATTTTCCCAAATCATCCTATGCTTTCTGCTTCCCTGCCTTTGTTCATGCTGGGTTTTGTATCTGGTTTTTTGTTTTTGTTGTTGTTTTTTTCTGGATCAAATGCCATTTCTTTCTTCATCTATTTTTCTTTGGCCTTTAAAGCCCTGTTGTGGTGTTTTGTCAGAAACTCCCTCCTGACCTTACCCCTGACTGAATGAATCACCTCTTCCTCTCTGGCCCTAGAACTTGCCTGTACTTCTATGACTGCATGCATCCCACATGATTTGAAGTCCTGGGTTTCTTGTATGGCTTCTCTTCTAGACTGTGAGCTGTCTTGGGCGAGGTCTGTACTGACAAATCAGTGTCCAGCATAAATTGGTGCCTAATAAATGTTTGCTGAATGATTCAGGCAGAAGGAAATGGGAATTCCTAAATGATTTGGGCAATTATGATCCAGGAGATCAATTACATTTAAAATTACATGCGTTGATTTAGTCGATTAAATAAAAATTACTCATCAAAATGTTATAAACATGAAGTAACTTTTTAGCTTTATCCAAGAGTCACCTGTCGATTAGATAGGGAATTCAGTAGCTAATGAAATTTTTCATTCTATTTTGAACTCTGTGGGAAAAGCCAAGGTCTCGAGTGAGTTTTTTGTTTATTCTTTTTGGTGATTTGTTGTTGTTGAGATAGGTTCTCAATTGGACAAGCAGGCCTCAAACTCAAAAAAATCTGCCTGCCTCTTCCTCCCAAATGGTGAGATTAAAGGTGAAAGCCACCACACTGGCCCTTTATATATATATATATATATAATTTTTTTAACAGAAGTTTTTGACTGATTCCTGCCAAGTGTAGCCCCATTCCCAACTTTATAGTTCAATCACTGATTCATTCAACAAACATCATTCTTCATTTTATTGCTAACAAAATTAGTAGAAGAAAAAGTTCACATCTACTTTGAAATACCTGCTGACATGCTTTTAATTTCTTCTTCTTTTTCATCTTCTAGTCTTTTCAGAGAAGACTGGAGTACCATTCAGGTTGAAGGATCAATCAAAAGTAGATGGGCTTCAATTTTGTGAGAACTGCTGTCAGTATGGCAATGGAGATGAGTGTCTTTCTGGAGGAAACTATTGCAGCCAGAATTGTGCTCGGCGTGGCAAAGACAAGTATGTTTCTTTCCCTTCTGTCTGTGAAATGGTCAGACCTGTAGATCATAGTATCTTGAGGAGATGGAGGATTAAATGAGCTGTGGGACATCTGTTCCCCTTTTGGACCTGTTTGCTAGGCTTTCCTCTGGTAGCACTCCACCCTTGACCTCTCCATTGGATCTAGTGCCTTCTCTTAAAAGGTCTGTCCTAGTAGTGATGTTTTGTCTCTGTAATCAACCATGGTTACCATTAATTTGATTGTTTCTGGTAAAGAGTGCTTCGGTGTTTCTGACCTGTGTGCACATTTGAATGGTACTGATATTTATAACAACACACTTGTTTACTTCCAAAGTTCCCTGTGGAAATGTCAGTAGTAGATAAATTAATAAGTCCTTGAAGGATGACGTCAGTGGACATACAGTAAGTGTTGTGCCACTTCCCCATCTGGGGACTATCCAACAAAGTACAGTTTAGGAGCAAAAAGGTGTGTTTCTTGCATATAACATAGAACAAAACAAATGACATTTAAATCTTTAATTTTTTAAAATCTTTTATGTCTATGGATGTTTTGTCTAGTGTGTGTCTATGCACTACCTGCATGCCTCAGAGGCCAAAAGATGACATGAGTTCTCCCTAGAGTTGTAGTTACAGGCAATTGTGAGCTACCATGTGGGTTGTGGGAATTGAACCTGTGTCCTCTGAAAGAGCAGCCATTGCTTTTAGCCACTAAGTCATCTTTCCAGCCCCTTGACTTTTGAGTTTAATATAGAAACTGCTAATTGTTTTGTATTGGCAAGGGAATTCTTTACAAATTTGTAATTGTTTTTTTTCTACTGGATTTGCCAGTCTTAAAATTGCTAGTCCCTTGGTTTCAAATTGCCCTGGAAATATATATCTCTACATAATTGATTCTTTCATTATTATGAGAGACAAGTAATTATAAACCCATTAGAATCCATTTTACATACATTGATAGTTCCCTTTCGAAGTTAATATATAAAATAATTTCCAGTTTTTACCCAGAAAGAGCTGTGAAACATGATTTTAATCACATTTTAATATGCTAATGTCTGTGGATTTCTCTTAGTAATTAAATGTTTCCTTTGGAGAGTTACTTTTTTAAAAATAATTTTGCATCAATAATCAACATGTAGATATTTGATAGGTATTGTTTCTTGTCACTGTTCTTGGCTTATAAACACAACAGAGATCAGAAGGAAGAAAGAGATGGAGGTGATGACAATGAGGACGAGGATCCTAAGTGTAGCCGGAAGAAAAAACCAAAATTATCTCTGAAAGCTGACTCCAAGGAGGATGCAGAAGACAGAGATGATGAGATGGTTAGTAGCCCTTATGTGTTCATTCCCAGACATGGGCAGTCTTTTGGGGTGTCTCTAGTTACCAGGTCTGTTCTGGAGTCAGTTGCTTGTGTTAGTTAATGCTAGTTCAGGGACCACTTATGTCAGGAGATTCCATACCACTTTATGCCTCACAATCATCATCTAAAAATGAGAATAGTCAGTAACAGTGCCCTTCCTTCAGTATTCAGAAGTTGGATGTTCTGGAATTTATTACAGGGATGAGAGGCAACAATCAAACCTTAAGTTTTATGGATGAGTTTCAAATTCCCTTACTAGCAAAATGACAGTCCAATTTTGGTAAATTGCAGATAGATTTCATAAACTATGTGAGTGAATAGAAAATGACATGTAACTACCAAGTGTTTCTAGGGGGAAAATCATTCAAAATGTGTCAATTGAAGCATAACTACTTTCACCCTAAAGTAGGGATTAATAGTTTTACAGGAACAGAGAATTTTGAGGTCTTGAAGCATTTCACCCAAGTTCAGTTAATGAGCAGTTGTTATCTACTAGACACTATTCAATGGACTGGGAATATGGAGATGAATAAGACATGTTTCTTCATTAAGGTCTTTCTTCATGAAGACACTGTGTTCTGGCTAAGCAGGCATAGTATGCAAGCAAAAAGAACCAGAGAGATACCAGTTTATCCTGAGTGCTATGCTGGCATTTAAAGTAGAGCATTAGGATTGGTTGACTGGTTTAAATTGGATTTTTGATGGAAGGGCTCCTAAAAAGACAGGAACACTGAGATGTGAACATTAAGGAGGAATCAGCTGTGTGCATTAAGCCCTCTGCACTATACAACTTCTGAGGAGAAGACCTGAAGGGAGAACAGTGTAGCACGTTTTGTTGGAGGGCACACACACAGAAAAGTCATCAACGTGCATGGAAGATTCGGGAAGAGACGGGCGGGCGGGGAAGCTGGGGTTAGTGTGATTTGGGTCAGGTTTCCTGAGTGTGGTGGGAAGACACTGGGAAGTTAAAGGCCAGGGGATGCTGTGGTTCCATTTGTTCTTTGCCTGGCCACTTTGCTGTAAGCAGGTAAAGAGCCGGGGAAACCAGTTAGGTATTCTTGCAGTCTCTAGGATAGAAGACGATGTAAGATAGATGTTAGGTGATTCTGTTAGAGTTATAGTTGTGAGGATATATAAGAAAAGGGGAGATTCGGGGTTCTATGAATGGGAGATTCCTGGATTGAATAGATACTTGGAATGTGAAGGCAAGTGTAGAGTGGAGTAAGACTCAGGAAGCCTTCGGGTGTGCAGTTTCTTGTGTTTGTTGCCTACACATCTCAAAGTTGTTAGGTAGTGAAACACAGACACATGGAGTCAGGGAAAGGAAGCTAGTGATGGAGGGTGAAATTATATAGCATACAAATGACCTTGGGGGATGGGGAGATGGTTGTCAGTATTTGCCCTGTGAATGTAAGGACCCGAGTTTAGATCTCCAGAAACTTATAAACAGCTAGGTGCAGTTATCCTAGTTTTTATCCTAGTTTTAACCTGCTTTTTATCCTAGTGCTGAGGATTTTGGGACGAGTGGATCCCTGAACCTCACTGGCGTGAAGCCTGGCTTACCAGTCACTAGGGGAGCCTGTCTCACAGGAAAGTGGAAAGAACTTGAGGGATGACACTCAGGCTTGCCCTCTGATCTCAGTACCATTTCATGCCATTCACAGCCCTCCTCACCACACAAAGAAATGACCTTGAAACCCATGGGCTAGAGGGGAGTAGAGGTTGAAGGGGTGTAGACATCAGTAGAGAACCTTCGAAAAGGGCCAAGGAGATCTCAGGACCTGCAGGATGCTGTGTGTGGAGCTAAGATCACGAAACATTTTAAGGAGTTTGGAGCAGGGCTTTACTCTTCCAGGGAATGATTGGAAATGTTCTTTTCCGATGACTCAGTTAAAAACCTACATGATCTTAAGTGGGCCATATATTGCTGCTGTAAAAGTTAGGAAACAAAGACCAACAGAGGAAGGCTTTTTGACAGACCTCTTAAGTTTTCCTTGAAACCAATTTCAAATTTTCCCTTTCTTACTGTAGGAGAATAAACAAGATGGAAGGATCCTCAGGGGTTCCCAGAGAGCCAGAAGGAAAAGACGCGGGGACTCAACTGTCTTAAAGCAGGGTGAGCCGAGCTGACTTGGTGGTCCTGAAAATCCAGTTCGGGCCGGGCGTTGGTGGCGCATGCCTTTAATCCCAGCACTTGGGAGGCAGAGGCAGGCGGATCTCTGTGAGTTTGAGGCCAGCCTGGTCTCCAGAGTGAGTGCCAGGACAGGCTCCAAAAGCTACACAGAGAAACAGAGAAACTCCGCCCCCCCCCCCAAAAAAAAAAGAAAAAGAAAAAGAAAAGAAAATCCAGTTTCAGTCTTTATGGTTCTCCCAGGGTCACAGAGTACTTCACTGATTTTCTCTTTGGTGCAGTTTCCTCCATAAAAGCGCAAAGACTTGAGGGAGCAGCTTAGGAAGGATAGGCTTGTTTTCAAGTTGTTACTGCGTATGTATGGAATACCTTATTTCATTTGCTGGTTTATCCATCAAGATGGTTGTTCCTGCTTCTATCCCTTTTCCTGAACCCCTGTTTTTGCTCATTTCCCAAGAGGTCAGGTTTATTGTGCTCTCTCAAAACACAGCCTTCGTATGTCATCCCCTTTTTTTCTTTCCTTGAGGTCACATCTTATTCTTTTGGGAAAATACAGTTCTCCGGGTCTTCCTCATGGCTATTTGGCTGGATAAACCCTTCCTTGGTGTGGACCTTGGGTCATTTCCATTTAAACTCCTCTCAGCCTTACTCCACATCTGCCTTGTCAGGCCTTTGATCAAGATTAGCAGACATGACTCTGACCCAGTACAGCCCCGCTACCAACCCGCCCACTTAGCTCACACTCTTCCCTAAAAGACAGGACTGTGAACCCAGCCACCCAGCATTTCCTGTCTGTGCTTGGAGGCACTCCTTGCTGGTTCTTCCATGAATCCCCCAGAAGGAGTTGTAAATATTTCATTCCACCTGTCTCTAGCTCAGAGCAGAACTTCCACATCCCTTCAGATGGCTTTTTTTGTTTGTTTGTTTCTGTGACTAAGGGAAGTAAATTAAATCCCTTAGTTACCCTGCATGAAATGTCCTCGTTCTTGAGCCTTTTTCTTCTTTCCCCTGAATGGCTGCACTGATGAAATTCGAAACCCTGGCTCTTGTAGACCCTGTCCTTCCAGTCACTTTTTCCCCTTCATGTTCCAAGTTCCTTCCTTTATGAACTGCGAGAGTGCTTTGTGCATCGCAGTGGACTGACTACCAAGTGCTTGCAGTGTTGCTACAAGTCAACCAGTTTCATGCCTTACCTTGTTGCAGCACTTTGTCACACTTAATCCAAACCTTCTGATTTTTATCGTGTGCATTTTTTGTGCTTAATGAATATGATTTTCACCACATCAGTGTTTTTCTTCATTTCCAAGGTTAACTGATATCCCCTAAGCACTCAGTACATTATCTTTTTCTCCTTCATCAACGTCACCAAGCAAGCAGCACACTTAAACATCTTGCTCCTGGAAGATTTTACTTCCTGTAGCTTCTCTGGGCTTCCTGCTGGACTTTTCATGTATTCCAAGTTCTTCCACTTTCTTCTGCCTTCATCAGCTGGATATTTATACCACAGTTCACTTCTCAGTTCTTGCTTTTATGGAAGAGGAACCAGAAAAAGCAAGCAGTGTCAGCCATGCAACAGGAAGAGCCAGAAAGCAGAGTATTTGTGCAAGAGAGATATCCCGGAATATTTCATTGATTTCTTAGCTTCGGCAAGTCCATCATTTGGTTTCCTGTCTTTCAGGTTTGCCTCCTAAAGGCAAGAAAACTTGGTGCTGGGCATCCTACCTAGAGGAGGAGAAAGCTGTGGCAGTGCCTGCGAAGCTGTTCAAAGAGGTATGAATTCCTCTTGAAGCACTGTGTGGAAAGGCAAGGGAGCAGGAAACTCATTGGAATCCATATTGTCATTTCCATTATCTTAGGAAGTGTGATGGGGACAGTTTGTCAAGTATGTTGTTTTACATGAGAATGTTATGTGGAAGATCCCTCAAAAGGCAGCTATAATTGGTGTGTGCACACAGTACAGTACAGCACTGTACACACTCACAGATGCGTAATTTCTCTCATCATTTTCACTCATTTGGCATTATAGGAATACTATTATTGAAACACCAGGAGATACATTTTATGTCTAGTTATGAGGAACTGAAAGTGAGATACTGAGATTTATATCCTGTTAAGAAACATTTAAGACGGTTTATTAGATGTATTACTGATAAGAATATTCCATTGTAAGTAATTTAAAATCAGTTTAAAGGGTAGCTCTGCCTAGGATCTTTTGCCCCAAGACTCAGATAGGACTTGGTAAAGTTTCTCTGTAAAGGATCATGTTCTAGCTTTAAGGGTATCTGGAGTCTGCTTCCACAATAGAGCTTGCTATATAACAGGCATGAAAGTGGCTATAAATAACATGTAAGTTATCAGCAATGGCTATGTTCCAATAAAATCTTATTTACAAAGCCATAGTGGACAAGATTTGACACACAGACTGTAATTTGCTGACCCTTCATTTGAATCACTTAATGTATTATGAACCTTCCATGGGTATCTTTGTATTTAAGAGTGAACAAAGGGAAAGTATAGTGAACTTTAGAGTATATCAGCACTGAAAATGTAATGCAAATGTAATAGTAATTACGATTTATTCTGAATAATTATTTTCTATAAGTTTGGTCCTATACAGAACAGGTTTTCACATTTTTCAAAAAGATTTGTTTTTAATAATGTGTGAGGGTGTGTGGGTGGTTGCCTGTAGAAGCCAGAAGAGAACATACGACCCTCGGGAACTGAGGTATCTAAAGAAGGTTGTGAGCTGCCTGATGTGGGCGGGCGCTGGGAACCAGACTTGTGTCTATAAGAAAAGCAAGTGCTCTTAATTACTCTGCTGTTTCTCCATCCCCACCTTTTCACATTTTTATAGATTACTTAAATAGTAATACATTCATATAATTTAAAGTGTCAGTAAAAGGGAATATGGTATGGCCCTTGTGGTTTTGTCCCCCTAAACACCAGGTTTATCTCTAGGGACAGTATTGCTAGTGCTTATGTTTCCTTCCTTCCTAGAATGTCATCACACATATAAGTACCTTTGGTCCTGTCTAAAATGCAGTGACAATGGTAGACTTGCTTTTTCATTGTACAGTTTGGAGATTTTTGTTTGTTCGTTCGTTTTAGGTCATTGATCCCTCCATCTTTCTTTTTATGATAAGCCATAGTATTTTAAAATCATATTTATTCCATAAAAGTTTACACTGCTCTCTATTGGTCGATGGGCAGATGTAAGTTTTAATTATTTTTTTCCTGGATGGTTCAGTGAATGGTGGTGTTCACCTGACATTTTGCATATCTACAAATATCTCCATTCGGTAATTTCCTGGGGTCAGAACTGCTGAGAGAAGGCTCAACTTTTTGTAGATAGAATGAAATTGCTACTGATTGTCCCAACTTTTCATTCCCAGTGGTCCATGCCTCAGTCTGACTTCATGGGGCCTCCCAGCACAGAGCAATCAAGCTCTTTGGTCTTCATCAGTTTAACAGGAAATATATCTTGTGTGGTTCTGATGGGCAGAGTTGACTGTCTCTTCAAACCTGTCAAAGACACAGGCAATAAGTCATTAGATTTCTTTTTTATGACTTGTTCATAGCCTTTGTGAGTTTTTCATCTTTCATTCATCCTTTTCTTTTTGGGACTTTTAAGCAGCCTTTTATTAACCTATATGCTTGAGATCATTAATTTATATGTCTGATGAGATTATCAATGCATTTGTTTGATGATTGCCATCTTTGGGATTGTAAGGATGGAACCCAGGGCCCTACTCATGTTAGGGAAGCACTTAGCCACCGAGGTATATCCCTCAGGCCTAAGGACTCTTTAAGAATAGTAATTGTTCACATTTTGAATCAGTCTTAATGGTTATGTAATGCTGCTGTCATTTTGCATTGCAGCACCAGTCCTTCCCATACAACAAAAATGGATTCAAAGTCGGAATGAAGCTTGAAGGTGTGGACCCAGAGCATCAGTCTGTGTACTGTGTCCTCACTGTGGCTGAGGTAAGCTTTGCCTTGTGTTTGCTTAGAAAAGAAAATGATGACTATGGGCCTTAATGATGAGAAAGAAATGTCCTCAGCTGAATATTTACTTCCTGGGAGGCAGGATGTTTAGTGTTTTTAATGTATATTATTTCTCCTGATCATCATGAGATATGTCTTGTGCAACTGATGATTTTTTTCATCCCTGTTTCACAGATGAGGGACATGAGGCCAGAGAGGTCAAGTGATCAGTATAAGGCCACACAGTCTCAAGGTGGTGGACCTAGGGTTTGAAATGATGTCTATCTGATTCCATAGACTTTGCCATACTGTATGTTCCTTGACAAAAGGAACCAAGCAACAAATACACACACACACACACACACACACACACACAGAGTGTGTCCATTATTTTGCTGAGAGTACTTTTTATATTTCTTCCTCCTGTAGTAGCCCCCTTACTTCTTCTATGGATCTTTCAAAGCCTTCTCCCCAAAGGAGTAAGGTGTAATAGGCACTAGCTTTAATTATTCTAGAGATTCTAGAGTTCTTTCAGTGACTGGTTTGTAAGAAGCTTGCTTCCTGCAGAACACAGAGTGCAATGACTGTGTGTGGTGGTGACACAGTAATTGTTGTTACCTGGAGTATACTGTGTGCCCAGTGCTGACTGACTGTTTTGTAGCTGGGCCTTGGGAGGGAGTTGAAGATGAGACTTTGGTGTCCTGGGCCTTGGTGTTTAAGAGAAGGATCTGGAGACAGGATTGAGTTTGAAGATTCAGTAAATCTAGATTGCTTTTGAGAGTTTTATCTGTAAAAGAAAGCCCCAGGGTGGGGTTGTGGGGTCAGAGGCAGAGTGTGTGTGTGTGTGTGTGTGTGTGTGTGTGTGTGTGTGTGTGTGTGTATTTTAGGGGATGTCAGGGGCAGTGTGTGTGTATGTGTGGTTGTTTTTCTTTTTTTTTTTTTTGGTTTTTTGAGACAGGGTTTCTCTGTGTAGCTTTGGAACCTATCCTGGCACTCGCTCTGGAGACCAGGCTGGCCTCAGACTCACAGAGATCCGCCTGCCTCTGCCTCCCGAGTGCTGGGATTAAAGGCGAGCACCACCCACGCCCAGCTGTATGTGTGGATTTTAACTCCCATGTTTACGTCTTCTTTGTGGTATTGAACATGGAAGGCAGAGCTTCATATTGCTAAGCAACCATCTGACCACCAAGCTACATACCCAGCCAAAACACTCTTGTGTTTTGAAGATTCCTTTTACTTACTGTAGATTTTGACTATGGAAGCTGTTTGCTCTTTGTAAAAACTTCAGAGTCTAAGAGTACCGATCTCTGTTCCATTCACCTCACACCACAGCCCACAGAGCTCACCCTTCCCAGTTACTGCTTGTTTCTAGTAGATGCCTTCTCAGTGCATCAAATTGTATATATCTATTATTCCCTTTACATGTAAAGGTTACATTATGCATAATCTGCCTCTTGTTTCTGTCACACACACACTTTTTTACCATCGAGTCTTGTTGAAAGGGTTTTGTGATGAAAGGGTATCTTGGCTATCTGGGGGCCAAGGAATACCACAGAAATCACATCATGCATTGGACCTCATACAAGAGATTTCTTAGGGGGTGGATGACCAAAATGGCTGCCTCTGAGCAGGGATGGAAAACAGATTGCAGCCAACCAGGCTGTGATGGTGGACTTTACTGGGGGCAGGGTATGGAACATGCACATAGGGAAAATACACAAATGGAGACGGGTGGTTGGCCGATAGTGATGACTACTGGGAGTTGATGCTGATTGAAGGTGACGAGGAACCTGCTTCTGGAATGTGGGCACTTCTTAGTTGACTAACACTTGTCCCACAGGATTGCTTTTGTTCATTTCAACTGCTTACATGTTAGTATCAACAGAATGGGCACCTATTTCTCTAAGGCAGGAAGATGGTAAATTTGAAGCTAGATTGCATAGTGGGATCCTGCCCCAGCCCCCAACATAAATAACCAACTGTGTTGTAGAATGAACAGCCTTCATCTCTGCTTCTTTCTGCTTATAAATACCTATGAGAACCAACCCTGGAACTCCTGAATGAAAAGTGATGGATACATTGTTTCTGATACCCGCTGCTGTGCCTGTTACAGGGCTGCTCCATCTCCTGTTCTTGTTGAGGCCTTTTTAGGTTTAACTAGCTTTCTTTGAGTTTATCAGTTCTCAAATCTCTCAAAAAATATGTGAGAATTTGTTTACCTAAAACTGAGTAAGGGTTTTGTCTTTACTGTAATCTACCCCCTGCCCTGGAGAGAGCAAAAGAGCAGATGGAGTCCTGATACCTGAGGGCTTTGGGGCTTTACTCCAAGGAGCAGTCTCTCCCAGCTTGCACAGGAAGGGGTAAAGGCTAGAGTCCTGAGCACAGCAGGCTTGCCTGTTTGAAGCAGCCTGGTAACTTCTTTGACGCAGGTGTTGAGCCATTGTCAAAGAAATGGAGATAAGTGGATTACTGTGGGGATGGCGAGGCAGAAAAGATTAGCATGAATAAAGAAAGGAAGCTAGCATTCCATCATAGTTGATTTCTTTAACAGTCTTATTGTGTAGAATCTAGCCTCACAGATCCTCCTGCCTCAGTTTCCTGAGTGTTGGGATTGCCACCAGGGAGCTGATTCTTGTGACTGGATTCTTCTTCCTCAAGGTTATTGTGTCCCTCAGATTAACTCATGGGAAACCATTGCGCCTACAGGGAAAATGTAGATTTAGGCTCCTGCCAGCCTTCGGTCAGTACACATACTTGTCTTTGTTTGATGACTCCTTATTCATTGTTTTGATAAAACTGAATTCTCGTTCATCAGCAAGTGCTGCAGTGCACACGTGAATGAAGCCCCCATAATACACACATTTTCGACGTTAGCTGTGTCATAGCATTCTGGGCTCTTAGAGGTTAATGAGTGAAATCAATAGAAAGGCTGAAGAGGTGAAAAACATGGTACTGGACAGACGGTCTATAGGATATGTATTCATAGGAGGGAAGTCCCACCAAGAAAGCCCTGCCAGTCCTGCTGGAACCTGGATGGACCTTGGGTGACTCACATATTGTTGCCATTCTGTATTCAATAACATGCACCAAATATGTTATTTGGGGGTTAGAAATAAGTTTTAACAAGCAAGTGAATTCATAGGTACAGAACTTACAAATAATGAAAATGACTTTTTCTTCTTCCCAGTATTCACTAGGCTAGGTGTGGGTACACTCTTGAATCTTGGGGAGAGGTGGGCTAAAAATTGGAAAGACGAAGGCTTTCTTCCTAGGGTTAGACCTTTAATGTAGGAGTTAAAAGGCATGGCAGTTTCTGGTGGGCATCATTTCCATAGGAGCACATGTCTGACACAGGAAAGAAAATATATGATGTAAGTCCTCAGAATGGAGAGGAGATATCAGCTGGAGCTCAGGGTCTTAATGCTAGAAGCATAGGACCAGTGAGAGACAGTGTAACCTGTGGTCCCGGCCCCGGAGGAATAGAATACAGGAATCAGCTGTGGAGAATGAAAAACCTCGAGGCAAGGCAGAGCTTGAGAGCAGCCTCTATCAGGAAGACTGAAGATGTAGGAGTACTGTGACCACAAGGGACTAGGGGCTGTAGGTGACTAACTAATGGCTTCACTTGTAGGAGGTGAGCAGAGACAGCTGCTTGCAAGGCAGGGTGGACAAGAGGCCTCTGAGATGGTGGAGATGGGAGTAGCCCTCAGCCAGATCAAATTTCCTAGGGACCCCAGTATCACCTAGGACTCTAGATTCTGGGAGTAGTGGGCTTAGTTGTAAATTTGTGTATGCTACATATTGATGCATTTTTAACTAAAATATAACATATAAAAAATAAATGGGACTTTTTTTTGCTACTTCCTTTTTTTCTTTGTTTTTGTTGTTGTTTGTTTTTTGAGACAGAATTTCTCTGTGTATCCATGACTGTCCTGGAACTCTCTCAATAGACCAGGCTGGCCCCAAACTCACAGAGATCTGCTTGCTTGAGTGCTGGGATTAAAGGCATGTGCCATCATACCCAACTTCTTCCTTTTTATTTCCACTTCCCTGGAAGAAATAGTTATCAATATTTTGTCCTGGTCTTTAAGACTTTAAATATATATATATTATATATGTATGATGAATTTATGCATCTATCCATGTATGTACATGTAAATATGTATATAAATGTCTATACATTTTTAGGAGATAGACAACATGTATTTAAGTACACACATGTTTTTTTCACAAACAGACTCACCTTGTGTAATTTGATCTGCTGCCTGAATTTTAACAGGATGCTTTAGAGGCCTTTCCATGACAGTAACTACAGTCTCCTCCCTTTTGAGGGGTCACTGTACTGGCTCTGCACTCAGCCTCAGCTTCTTGTGGGGTCCTCACTTCTGTGTGGCAAGCACCTTCCTAACAATGCCATCACCTTAACCTCACTAAGAATATGTCATCCCTGGTACTTAGTCATTTTGTGTGTGTGCACGTGTGTATGTACGTGCATGCGTGGCTGTATTTTAACTTATCCGATCTGCTTACTTATTTCAGGTTTGTGGCTATCGGATAAAGCTTCACTTTGATGGATATTCTGATTGCTATGACTTCTGGGTAAATGCAGATGCTCTGGACATTCACCCAGTCGGGTGGTGTGAGAAAACTGGCCATAAACTCCAGCCTCCAAAAGGTACTGCTACTTTTTGTTTCATGCTTTAAATGCAGTAAGATCTTACTTTCTTAGATGCTAAATTCTTACAAGTTATTCTTTCTGGTAATTAAGTCAAGCTTATTGTTCATAATATAAAAGAAATAAAATCTAATTTAATAAATTATTCCATGTGCTTGTTTTCATAGAGATTAAAACCTGAATAATGATCAACAACTTTTACAAAAAGATCTGTTTTATCTGTATATATGTGTGATTGCAAACACATATACATACAGCCTTGAATAGAACTACTTGAGACATTAGTTTTACTGCTATTTCATGATATACAAAAGGCTTGAGAAGCCAGCTATGATGTCACATACCTGCAATCCTAGTACTAGGGAGGCTGTGGTAGAAGATCATGGGTTAGAAACCAGTTTGGGCTTTATAGTGAGTTCGAGGCCAAGATGGATTACAGTAGCTAGACCTTACCTGAGAGACAGACAGAGAGAGAGAGAAAGAAGGAGAGAGAGAGAGAGAGAGAGAGAGAGAGAGAGAGAGAGAGAGAGAATATGAGTATCTTGGGAAATTATGCCTTGAACCCACAGGTTTTGATATTTTAGGTTGCAGAAGGAAATATAGTACTAAAAACTACCATGCATAAATGTTGGACTAATAATAATTACTTTCAGTGCTAGGGATCAAGCTTAGGGTCTCATTCATGTTAAACAACTGCTTTACACTGGTTTCTATCCCTAGCCAGATGGAGTGCTTCGCTATTTATTTGTTTGTTTGTTTGTTTGTTTATTGATACTTGAAGCCTTGTCTCAAAATGAACTCTTCAATGTCCTGTCTCCTGAGTGCTAAGATAGGCACATACAACGATACCTGATGGAATCCTTTATATTATTGTCTGCCAGGGTTTGTTTTGTTTTGTTTTGTTTGTTTTTTTTATGCAAACAGCACGAGGCTTTATTGTAGTTGTTTAACGAGCTAACCCCACGTTAGCTCAGGCCTTTCATCCATCCACCATGGCGGAGGGCTAGGAAAGACGGCGAGAAGCCACTGCATAGAGATCTTATAGGGCAGCGTAAGGGGAGTGTCTAGAGGTATGCACAGGCCAGAGTATTTTTTTGAACCTCTTTTATAATTATTTTTTAAAAAATCCCCAGAGAAACGGATAGTATAATTTTCAGTCCACCCCCTATGTATTTACTAATATTTCCTTCTTCTTAACTTTTTTGGGATGTCAAAAATTCAAAATACCAGTTTGATGCTTTTGTCCCCTCTGCCATCAATGTTGGGGGTTGGAACCAGGGCCCCTGCACATGCCAGGCAAGAGCTCTACCACTGAGCTACACTGCAGCCCCAAAGATGTTATTTTATAGTAGGCTACCATTTCTGTGCTCTAACTAAAAGGTAAAGACAATATGGTGTTTTGAGATATATAAAAGTCCATTTAGGAATTCACTTCTCATAAGGCAATGCTGACTGATGAACTGGAAATGTTAGGCAAGGACTCTCTCTTCTATTACTGTAATTTGCCAAAACCCTTTGTGAACCTGGGATCTGGCCCCTCCTTTTTTTTTTTTTCTTTTGAAGAACTAAAATGATTTATTTTTTTCCTCCCATTTCCTATTTGTTCATATTAGTAAAATCAAAGTAAATGTTGTGAGGGAAAATGGGGAATGAGCAATGTGATTCCTCCAGTTCACTAGTTGTACTTGTGAGGAATTGTAGCTACATGTTGATGGAGTGGCTTGACAATACAAAACCTACTGGGTTCAAAACACATTTTGCTTCCTAATGCCTTTTCTGTATATCCATTATCACATCCACTTAGAATTTAAAAATAATAACAAAGTTCGTTGGTGCTAAACACAACCTGTATCTAAAATATATAGTTATAAATCATGGGCTAAATTGTATTTATTGACAAAAAATCATTTGGCTGTTTGATTTGAACATATTTCAGCTACCGGCAGAGTAGGATGGGGAATTACCTGGTAATGCTTTGTGTGTTTCCTAAGGCTGTCCACATGTGCTTTCACTCCAGGGTATAAAGAAGAAGAATTTAATTGGCAGTCCTACCTTAAGACGTGCAAAGCCCAGGCTGCTCCCAAGTCATTATTTGAAAATCAGAACATAGTAAGTGTATCCAAAGTGCTTTTCCTTTCAGGAGTGATTCTATTTTTAGTGTCTCATAGGATAAATCACCAGTGAGAACAAGGAACTATAATAAATTTTATTGCCTTGCTAAGAATTCTCGTGTCTTAATTAAACTTTAAAATTAGCTTAAATTCTTCATGAGTAAATATCTATTTTATAGCCATATTGTGGTTGTCTTATTGAGTGGTATGACATTGTAATATGAAATCCAGGTGTGACTTACAATTAAAATGCATAAAAATTAAATCGGCAGGAATATTATACTGTTACCTTCACTTAACTAGGAGCACCATTCAGATGGGAGTCACACTCACAGTGTGATAGATACAGCCCTGTTTGATTTTTGCAGGCAGGAGGTCACCAGGGACTCTACCATGCCTTTATTGCTTCGTATAGCTTTGCTGTAGTTTTTGCAGCAAAAGCAAAGGCAGATGTGTATGCATTTTCTGCTTCTCTGTTGTCTTTCTGCTTTTATTTATTCTGTGTTCCTCCCATGGCATTTCCAAGAGGGACTTATGCATTATACCTTTCCTTCCCCAAGATGTGGTCTAATTAGAGCAGGGGCGAGCAAAATGTCACCCTTTAGCTTAGTTTAGCCCGTTAGCTAACAAGGAGTAGATGGGAGGACATATAGGACCTTTCACTGCTGACAAATGAGCCTCTTAATTCTGAGCCCTGGAATCAAAAGCCTTTTTTTTTTTTTTTTTTTTTTTCCTATCCCACCTCACCTGCAACACCGGGGAGTCCTGGTCCCTCAGCAGATAGAGTAAAACATGCCTCCAGTCTGACTCTCTTAATAGTACAAGCATCCTCCTCTCCTAGATTCATCATGTAGTTGGCAGGGAGTAAGAGGATAGAGGTAGAAGCATCACCATCAGGTTTCCCTCCGAATGGAACAAGTATCAGCAATGGGGGAGCATTTCCATCCGGACAGTGGTATCAGGCAGCTGGTTTGAGGGTGCAAATCTAATGGAGAAACTATTCTCTGATTAAATTAAACATAACCAAGGTTGAAATAAGAATGAAAGGAGAGAGAGAAAATACGGTCAGCCTACTTTATAATCTCTAAATTGGGCAGACAGCTTAATCGCCAGGATGTAAATGCTGCCTTGTCCGTATATGTTCTCTGACAAGACATTTCGCCGGAGAAAGGTCAGTTGGCTGGAAACTCAGCAGCCTGCTGTCTCCACCCCATGGCTGTTCATCTGACAATGACTTACATCATGGTGTCATTTACTACCTTGAACCATCACTCCATTCTGGGCATGGTTAGCACACAACCTAATCTTCAGCCTCTGTTGATATTTGAGAGGTAATTAAGTTTTCTATTTCTAGATTCTCCACATCAGAAAAGTCAGATATTTATGGTCTTAAATGATATATAATTTCAGGGTTCAAATATATGGCAAATTTTCTACATGTTATTTGCACTGTCTAATTCACTTGGGACTGGCAGCATTTTCCTATATACTTCTTTACATTTTTGCAACCAAAGTTAATATAATTTTACTTTTACTTCAGTCTTTTACGGTAAAATGAAAAGTGGCATTTGTTTGTGTAAAGCATTAGGCTAGTGCCCATATGCTTGTTTGAATTGAAGGGTTTTTACTGGATGGCAGAAATGACTTCCATTGTTTTGTAGTTAACAGGGTAGATATCCAAGTATCCTACTCTGAATTTAAAATATTTTCCGCTGGAGATTATAAGGGTTGTTTACACATCACTATCCCTCAAGCAATAACTCAGTGAGCTTCTCCTGCTCTCCTTGTGAATTCCAGGTGACTGATCATCTGTGGATTTCCTTAAAATACCTAATATTCCTAACGGCAGTGTATATCAACGGCCAGCTGCCGTGCTGCCGCTAGGAATAAAAACTGTCTGTAGTAGTAATCCGAAGTTGTAATAGCTTGAAGCTTTTTATAAGTGATGGTGACCTACTTTCTGTCCAGTACTTGAGAGATCTTCTCAGATATGGAAGTGAATTTGTGCTGACTCCACATTTTTAACTCAATTAAGTGTATCTTCTCTGTAAAATAATTTTCATTGTCCAATTTGTAATCAAGGAAAAAAAAAAAGGCCTGGCAATCAGCCATGTGGTAAATAAAACTTGCCTGCCTAGTATACATCCCCTAACTAAGGTATTAAAACACACACTGAAATTAATTATTTTCAACTCTGCCAGGTTGCCGATGTTTTAGTTCTGAGGCTGGGATAGTTAATTGAATGTAACTGTAGAGCTTAGGTTTTTATTGTTGCCCGTGGAAAGCAACCCCACTGTGAGGCTGGCATCGAATTTTTTTATTAGGTGAATATAGCTGTGGATGCCTGTCCTTGAAGCAGGGGTACAGACTTATGTAGATTACACTGTAGTGAAGTGTGCTTATCTCTAATTAAATCTGCATGTTTCCATAGACAGCGATCCCATCAGGCTTCCGAGTTGGAATGAAGCTTGAGGCTGTAGACAAAAAGAACCCTTCCTTCATCTGCGTTGCTACGGTAACCGATATGGTGGACAACCGTTTCCTGGTGCATTTTGACAACTGGGATGAGAGCTATGACTATTGGTGAGACATTTTCCATTAATGTGTGCTTTTGAAAATTTAATGCTTATCTAGGGAAAGTGAATACACAGTTCAAAATAAGGAACAATGTAAAGTTTATAACAAAACAAAAAAACCTGACATCATCCTAGCTCTCTGGAGGTGAGGCAGGAGGATCAGAAGTTCAAGGTCACCCTCTGCTACCTAGGGAGTTTTGAAACGAGCCAGGATTATATGAGACCCTGTCTTGAAAGATTAAAATAATGGGGCTGAAGAGATGGCTCAGTGAAGAGAAGAGCACACATTGCTCTTCCAAATGAGCTGGGCTTCTTAACAGCACCCATGTGGCAGGTCATGACCCCCTTTCACTCCAGTTCTAGGGGATCCAATGCCCTCTTCTGGCATTGGTGAGAACTACATATGGTACACAGACATGCTTGCAGGCAAAATACCCATACACAGGAAAAGAAAAAGCAAGATTAAATCACCTTTTAGTATTTCAAGTTTTTAAGCTTTTGCTTGCCCCATGTTGCGTTTATTTTTAATTGACATCCTCCCAGATGACTCAGGATTTGTGTTTGACTTGACTCTATAATGTGAAATTAAAATTTGTGTTCCCATATCCCCAACAAAGATCTGCATGTGCCAACATAGATTTTACATGTACATCCGTGCACAGACTCACTGTGTGTCTGGTGTAACTTTGTAGGAATTTATTTTAATCAACTTTCCGTATTTTTGTATTCAGATAGCTGAATACAAATGATGCCGATTAAGGAATATTATTTTCATCCTTACTTTTAGATAGGCCATATGCAATAGTAAGAACACCTATGAAATTATGTAATTATAAAATCATTATAGTGGAGCGTTTGACTTTCATATGCATGTATGTAATGCTAGGGATGAAACCCAGGTTCTTGTGTATGTTAGGCCAGTGCTCTATGTCTGGACCACAGCCCTGGCTTCAGCCATTGCATTTGATTTTACTGCTAATCACTAAAATTGGTTTTCCTGGTAAAGCACATTTGGGAACTGGTTCTCTCCTTTCACGATGGGAGTCCTAGGGGTTGAGCTCAGGTCGTCAGGGTTAGTGACAAGTGCTTTTACCTATTAAATTTCAGTTTTTAATACATATATTAAGTAGACCCATCAATAATTCTCACTACTCCTCAAATTGAATTTTTAGATATCAGTCTTACTTCAATTGTTTAAGAAGGAGATTCACTGAATTTATGCATTTTCTTGTGTGGGTATATGTGTTGCTTGCATTTGGAGGCTAGAGGTTAAACCAGCATCTTGCTCTATCACTTCATTTTGTTTTCTAAAGTAGAGTCTTCCACTGAACTTTAGACATTGCTAATTCAGCCAGTCTAGCTGGCCATCTTGCCTGGGGGATTCCCCATCTGTCTCCTGAGTGCCGGGATTACTGGCTGGCTGCCACACCCACTTGGCTTTATGTCAGTGCTAGGTTCCAAACTCTGGTCTTCATGTCTGTGCAGCAGATATGAGCCATCTCTCTAGCCCCTACCAAAGACTCTCATGTTTGCTCTTTAGTTCAATTTAGACAAAATGAATTAATGCTTATTTGTATGACCGCATAAGTATCACAGTGATTTTGTTGTTGTTGTTGTTGTTATTGCCATTTTTAATTTTTTGTTTGTGTGCTTTTTGAGACAAGGTCACTTTGTATATAGTCCTGGCTATCCCGAAACCTGCTATGTAGACCAGGCTGGCTTCAAACTCACAGAAGTCAATCTGCCTTTGCACTGCAGTGCTGGAATTAAAGGTTTAGCCACCACACTTAACACATCAGAGTGTTTTAAAGCCATAATTACTTCTTTGATATGACATTGCTTCTGTACATGGATTTCTGTACATGTAGTGACCATGGGAAGCTTTGACACAGGCATTTTCTCTAATGTAAGGTACCTTGGTGAAGAAACAAAAAGGACCCTGGTTCCTTCTGAGGTAGAGCAAAGTAAAAATCTGATCTCTTATAACTGATTTTACACTTTTAAAATCATAAGCTAATGTCTTTATTTTTAGATTAGAATTCCCTTTGAGGATTATTTATATTTCTATTGACATGAAATCATATTTTGTTAATTGTCAGAAAAAGGAAAGTATGTTTCCTTTCTCAGTGTGTAGCTAAGGCACATTAAAAATTGCTTAACTGCCCTGGAATTTCTCTAGTTCTTTAGTCTTTGAATTTTGATTTTTTTCTGCATAAATTACTTTGGTGTGTAACTGAGGGTACACATTTCCTTTACTTTTTCAACTCAAAGTAGTTTTGAGATGAGAGTCTTTACCCAACTTGAATAGGGCAGGTACACTCTATTCCATTTTACATAGAGGGAATGGAAAGCATAAATATATCTGTCTACATTGCTGTACTATATGTTTAGTATTTCTTCCTTCTAAAGATGAATGTGATGAAAATTTGTGCAGGGCTGAAGAAAGGAAAGCAGTATATGCTGGAAAGACAATAGCTTCACCTCTGGGTTGTTAGACTTAGAAATAACTTGAAATATCACAGAATACTGAATCTAGAAACTATTTTAAAGATACAGGAAGGAATGGGAGGACTGTTACAGGGATCCCACCAGAGATAACCACTCAGAGACATCTTATGGCCAATTGACAGTCTTGAGTCCAGTCGGCTGAGAGTACACTCAAGGACCCAAGTGTAGTAATGAGTGTTTAGGGCAAGGAGGTTTTGAAGGCAAAACTACTTTCTGGTACCTTGCTCCAGAGCTGCAGGGGAGGTTTTATACACCAGGGGAGGTTTTGTACAAGCAAGCAGTTAAACAGAAGCTACGATAAGTGGTTGCCTGGAGGAGGAGGTTTGCACAAAGCAGGCAGTTTAACAGAAACCAAGATAAGTTAGCTCAGGCATCTTGACTTCAGGTTCCTAGAATGGAGTTGGGTAATTTACCATCAAGGAGATCAAATTCTAGTTAAAACTGAAACAGAAACTGCATTGTCTTGGCCTGTCACAAGGACCTTGGGAGTCCTGTTACCCCCCCACCCCACCCCCCATTGCATATACAGCCTCTTTCCCTCTTACCTTAGTAATGTCAGATACCGGGCTCCAGGGGCAGAACCCATAATGAGAATAGTCACCTCTTCTTTACCCCCCATGTGCTGGGAAATATTTTTCCTTGTAAGCAATGGTATTTTCATGTGACCTTGCCTTTGGGGATTCTGGACAGCATGACAGCAAGACTTAGCAAGTTCAGCACAAAGCCCTGAGTGAATAGAGCTGCAGCTTTAGCCACTTTGATTTCATTTTTGTGTGGCATCTCAGTGAGTAAGGGAAGAAATCAGCAAGGAATAGATCTGCGGAGAGGGAAGCATCAAATTAGTGATTCACAAGAAACCTCCTAGTCTTTTCCCAGTTATTCCTAGGTAACTGCAAACTTTCTTAAAAAAAAAAAAAAAAAAAAAAAAAAAAAAAAAAAAAAAAAAAAAAAAAAAAAAAAAAGGTCAAGCAGTGGTGGCTCATGCCTTTAATCCTAGCACTCAGGAGGCAGAGGCAGGCAAATCTCTGTGAGTTTGAGACCAGCCTGGTCTACAAGAGCTAGTTCCAGGACAGCCTCCAAAGCCATAGAGAAACCCTGGCTGGAAAAACAAAAAACAAAACAAAACAAAAAAATCTCTTTTATATTTATGAATTGAGAACAATAATGTAATATTGATTTATTTGTAACATGGGTCTTAGAGTGATATCAAAGCTTATGGTCTTTTATTACTGAGTTTAGTTAGAGGTGCACTGGGTGTCAATGGTGACAGGACATGGAGTGAATGAGACTTAGTCTTCAACTTCAGCTCTGGGGCCTGTGTTCTAGGGTAGGAGAGAAACATGCCCCCCCACACACACACGCATTTCTCAGAAGACAAGAGGTTAGAATTATACCATAAAATAATGCAATTTGTAGGATGGATAATCAGTGGCAAAGGAGAGAATGTGTGTTTGGCTGAAGGGTAGGGTATGGCTGAAGGCTAGGGTATGGCTGAAGGCTAGGGTATGCAGAAGTTGGCAGCTGCTTATTTAGTAGATTACTTAGGTCACACTTTAGTTGCCCCTTGCAAAGGGGTCCGGTAATGCCTACTTCGTCAAATGCTGCAAAAATTCAAGTAAGAATATTAGGAACAGAAACCAGTTTACAAATGGTTGAGGAGGTGGCTACAAGGGACCTTCAGTTAAAAAACAAAAAACAAAACAACAAAAAACTGCTAAAAGCAAAAGAATTTTGCCTGGAGAGTATTAAGGGCACCTTCTGAGGTGGGGTTCCTGCACCTAGAGTGTTTTAAGTATGGTTCCTTGGCTGGAGGAAGATCTCAAACCACAGTGAAGGAGAGAAATGGAAATATCTGAGACTAGATTATTGGTCATGCTAAACACTTCTTTCTCAGCCTGGAGAAAAGAAGAAACAGAAGTTTGATCCCAGGGTGACTAAATAGCATCACTTTGATTTTTGCCAACTTACTGTGTTATTTAGAGATTCTCAGCAAAAAAACAAAAACAAAAAACAAAAAACAAAAAACACTAATTAATATGAATTAGGGATGGAAGAGAGAGGTAGGTAACTCAGCTATGAAATCTGTAGTTGATTAGTAAAGTGGAGAGTTAACAGATGATGGGTGGCTGGGGCAGTCAGGTCCTGGTTAGTAAATAGGCAGTAAAAATGCTTTGGTATGAAGCAGTGGAAGAGGTTGGTGTCATCTCACAAAACTGCAGCCATTGTTGCTTGAGAGAAACTTTGATGTTTGCCTTATATAAGCTCCTGGAAATACTCTTGCTTGGCTCTTTGCCTAGCCTTGCATATGTACATGGTTTTATGTAGTTTTTGACTGTGACATGATGGTACTTACTTGTAATCTCATGGGAGGTGGCAGCAGGAGGATTAGGAGATGAAAGCCATCCTCAACTTCACAGCAAGTTCAAGGCTGGTCCCAAAACAAATGATCACTGCCAACAAAACAGATTTCTTTCTTTTCAACCCTAGGGGTGAGGTATT